TTCACCAAGGACACAACATATTCAGAGGAAAAAAATATACAACTAATTGTATAAGTGGTGATTGTTTTGCACCAACAGTAACCATTTCACAGTCTTATAACACTTAGATGATCTCTTTGGACCAACATTAAATAAAAAAGGCTGTAGGTTTTAAATGATAGGAATCGTCTGATAACAAAGGAACAAGCTTTTGAAATTAAAAATGGACTTTTATAGTCTAAATGTGGTATTTTTACCAATGTGGTATTAAAAAGATTAAATCTGTTCCTCCAGTTTGCCGCAACACATTCCACAAACCTATAAAAATCTATTTTTTTTCCACTAAAACATCTTTTTATCAGATACTCTCATCTGTTTTGACACAGATTTGGGTTTTTTAAAAAAAAAAGCAGGAGCCACTTTAGAGCCCTGACATTTCAGCTCTTATTGTGCTTTAGTGGAGGATATTACCAAACAATTTTCAAATAATCAAATTACCACAAAGTAAATGCCACACAGACTCCCTGGAGCCACCCCAAAGGCCCCGAGGCCACAGGGTAATCCGGCCTTGCCTTCAATAGCCATTCATTGCATTTTATGGGCTCAGCATCGGCTTTGCATAACTTCACCTGCAAATTAACTAGTGGAATCAGCTGATAAATAAATATAATGGGGTAGAAAAGGAAAAAAAAGCCTTCGCTGATGTAATGGAAGTAGGAATATAAAGTGGCTTTAAATAAAAATGTTGGAGTAAAGCACAAGTACCTCAGAGTTGCACTAACCGTGGGCCATTTTTGTTTTTACTGCAACCACAAGTGCTACTTATAGGATAATAGCCACAACCACTTTATTAAACTACTGAAATGCATTTTTTTAAGTACAATATAGTGTAACAACAGAATAAATAGAGAAAATCATAAACTCTGCAAACAGACAAAGTTATAACTAAAGTTAGCTAAAATTAGTTGATACCTCAGAGTGTAAGGACTTGCAGAAATAGTTGTTAAATTATTAAAAATGAAAGCTACTGTAAATGGCATAAATTATACTGACTAGAACCATCAAAGCAGGAGAAATAATGACATATTTGCAGGTAGGCTTGTTAAAGTTGATGTGACTTGGACTTTAGACAAGGAAAAATGTATTTTCTCTGTTTTTCTTTTTCTTTTTAATTTACCTACACCTTACCTTTAGACTGGAAGTCACAAGGTCATCTAAAGGTTTCGAAAAAGGGTTTGAAGCTCAGTGTGAGGCTTATCATGGCAGGTCCTGACTCCTTAAATAACTCCCAGCTAATGCAAAAATGAGCAAAGAGGTGGAGTGAGTGAAGCTCTTCACTTAAAACAGACAAAGTGGCCCAAATAATGTGAAGCTTTAAGTCTTAATAAAATTGAAATGGTTGAGTTTTATAAAAATACATCTCATGTACAGCGTGCATGACGAGAAAAATTAGCTACAGACCCAAGGCTTTTTTTTTCTACCAGGCTGTAAACAAATTAATTTCGACTGTGAAGTTTTACTATAAGGTCTATGAGGATTGACTCACTTTTGGAGGCAGCCTCCAGTGGCCAGTTATAGAACTGCAGCTGTTGGCACTTCAGCGCCAGCTTGAATTTTTTTAACGCTGGCTTCATTTTTCCACTTGGTTTTCCGAAACTCACACTGGATGTACGCGCTATTGAGCTCAACCAGACACACAAAAATGGCCGACACAACCAAAAAATGTATCACAGGACAGCGCATGAAATTAAAAGAAAAATGAACGGAGATCAAAATAAATGGACAAAGATTTGCTCCCATAAGCAGCTTGTTATCACAAACACCTCAATGTATTTACCTGAGCAAAAAAAAGAAGAAAGAAATGTATTGCTTATGAATTTATCTTTTTATTTGTAAAACAGTGCAAAAAAAAATCATAGTACAGCTTTACAGCAAAATAGGTGCACAACAGCTACATTTCAGTGTTGCTAGTTTTCCATTATCTATCTGTTACCGTAGTTACTATGTACACATATTACGCATTAGGTTATGTTAAATTTGAAGTTTTGTTATTTATGTTGCTAATTATTTCGTGTGTTATCATGTTTTAACTTTGCACAGTTGAGTTTATTATGTAGTTAATAATTTCCTTACCTTATATTTGTATATTTGTATGTGGGACTTGACAAGCTTTTGCAGCCCACTTGACTGAGAATCATTTGGCTTATGTCAGCCGGATCCAAGCACAACCATACGCCTCATGACGGTCAAAAAGCACACATCCACAAAGAACACATGAAAAAGTCAAGAATAGATGATTACTTTTAAGAATTGATCAACACGTTACCTGTGGCATTTACTGTTTTATGCTTTAAATTGATGTTGAACAGAAAGAAGTAGGTCTGTGTTCTGTTACTGATGAAACATGCCATAAAAACAGCAAAAAACTTCTGTATTTTTAAATGCCTATAACCTAGAACCATGGAGTTTCTATCAAAATAACTGATTATTTATTTTCATAATTAGATACCTAGATGTCTGTTTAAATTCACCAGAGAGACCATTATTCTGATATTAAGATTATGAGATTTCAAAGCATTTCTGAACGCTAAAAAAAAAAAAAAAAAGCCTCTATCGAACTGTTTTGTGTTGATCCAGTAACACTTTCCAAGCTCGCTGGATTAGTTATTGATTGTATACATGGCTGTATTGCACAGTTTCTTTAAATGATTATATTTCAAGGGAGCATAACAACATATATTTCTGAGGTTCAGAAGAAACTGGATCAAAGAAAAATGCATCATACATGTTGAATAAAACTTGAAATTTAATAAGCAACATGTATCAGAACTTCAAAATAAAGTGAAACTAGATCCAAGCATCA